TGGGTTCATAACAACTTGAACCATGGTTGAATTGCTGAAACAATCTTGCACCCTCCATAAGCCACAAACGTAGTCAGAAGCTACCTGTAAGCAGTTTGTGAAGCAGTGGAGCTGGCAATACACCAAGTCCCTCCCGAAGATACAGGGGTGGTTGTGGTCGGAGTTGGTGGTACCAATGGTTGTTGGCGATGGTGGGATTGGCGGGTTTACTATTGGAGTTGTCGTAGTTGGTGGAGTTGTGGCTGGAGTTGTTGGATTGACGATGGGAATGGTTCCTGGATCGCCATCTAGTTTGGGTGGTAAAACTTGAAGGTGAGAACATCATTCTGTCTACTTGATTGTCCAGCCTTTCATTTTGCAGGATTGCTTCAGGAGTTGGTTTCTCTGGGAGGCTTGAACCTGAAGAAGTAAGAGTTACTTTAGTTTGTTCTTTCCTTCCCTCTTCCTTTTAAGAATGACAAAGTTTTCATTGCATAAAAAATCATGTCAAAACCAGTATGTCCATAAATGGTGCCTTGTCTAAACGATTCTACTCCTACACATATTCCCATGCCTATAGCGGGATCTTAGAAGAAGTAAGTGGTAAGCAGTCCTAATTCCATTTAAGAAAGTCTACATCAAATGTCTCAAAAGAGTGACTTGGGTTTCCGTTTAAAATCAAGTAGCTGAAAAAATAAGATGATAGAAGGAGACTTGAACACGATATTGAGAAGTAGTTACGTACCCTCAAACCTTAATCCTCTGCAGTATTAGATTCTCTCAATTCTACAATTGAGAGAATCTAATACTAGAGACGATCTGGGTAGCCCCAAAAATGTGAAAGAAAACTATGACACAAAAAAAAAAAAAAAAACTAATAACATGAGTTTGAATGATATGAATAGATTGTTAGATGAATCCAAGAAAGCAAGCAACTTTGCACTTGCAATGGTTTGAATGATTTCGTCCTTGAATATTGCTTTCTATCGGGTTCAAGTGTACAGTTTTATTGAGAGAATTTGGCCAAGTAACTGGTTATGACGCGAATTGATCAAGTTTAAATCCATACACACTACCATCATGTCAATTTCAAGAAAGGTAATGGGTCGTGATAAGAATCTTTAGTCCTAAATTTCATACGAATCATTATGCAGGCTTCATCTTTTTTGTGTCAATTTCAAGAAAGGTAATGGGTCGTGATAAGAATCTTTAGTCCTAAATTTCATACGAACCATTATGCAAGCTTCATCTTTTTTAAGATTATCGAGTTCGATAATCAGCGAGTATTATGCTTATAAACAAGAAGAAAATAATGCAAAGAAGGAAACAATCCAAACAGAAACAGTTAAATCTACCTGAAATGAAGGAAAAACAGTAGAGAAAGAAGATGCAACAATGAAGAACTCTAGCACCCATCTCTTCTATCTGGCTTTCACAATGTGGTTTTCAATCCTCTTCTTCTTTGAGGACAATGATCAAACACTTGAGATATGCTCAAACAACTGAAGGACTAATGTGGTTCTTGTAACGAAGAAGTTATCTAGCAAGGCTTCATTTGGTATATATAAAAAGTGTGAAGAATCAAAGGTTTCTTGGGTGGAAGAGAGAAGGAAAGAGAAGTTAAGATGAAGGAAGAATACAAGAATACTTGAGGAAGGAGACATTGGGTTGGTGGAGACTGCAAGCAAGAGGAGGTGCCAAAATAGGCAAAAAAAGCTATGAAGAGGAAAAGGGACAGGAGTGATCTTCTTGGAATCTTTGAAAGGAAAATTGGGATTGGGATAAGTCACGATCCAATAAAGTAAAATTGGGAAAAATTATAACATGAGGTAATTCAAGTAATAATAAGGACGAGTTTTAAATCTAGACATCTTGAGTTTGAATTTTGACAACTCTTTGAGGTTTGATCATGAGAGATTTATTTTTCATAAATATTTAGTTCTAGTATGGATAGTCTGTCTTTGACTAAACCAGAGAAGAGATTAGTCGAGATATACGTAAGTTAGTCCGGACATCCATGACCGTTGAATCAAAAAAAAAAAGGAAAAATTAATGTTCAATGAGATCAAAGAAACAATCAAAACACTTTGGATTGATCCTAAAATAAATCATTTTCCTGTTCTGTAGATCCATATTACTCCGAGTATATTGAGTAGTAAATTGCCTTGTTTGAGTTGTAACTTGACCTTAATAGGCCAACCCATAGCTTTTGATTTTGTATTTTGAAAGAAAATACCCAAACTTCCAACTATTATATTCTGGTGATGGCGTGGCATTTCATGTTCTCTTTTTTGCCTATCTTTCTACTGTTACATAGGACTACGACAAAAGTTAAAGGTAGAGGGAGAGAGAAAGAGAGGCAAAGAGATTTTATTCCAACTACATTTCGATCTGAAACTAAAAGTTTCCTCTCAACTGTCTTCTTCCCCTACCAACTAGGTTTGATTTGCATAAATGCTAAGTTTCTAAAGTGAGTTAACAATTAGCTTGTATAGATAAAGTTATATGAACAAATGTAAAAGTTATAGTTTAGTCCCTCAACTTTGTTATCATATTTTAATTTGTCAGAGAAGAAAATATCTCTATGAAAGCAGGAGGTGTTAAAAACATTAGTCTGTCTTGAAATGCAGGAAGGCTGGACATTAAGTTTGATAGGTTCCTAAACTTTCAATTATCTTAATTTAGTCCCTCAACTATCAATTTTATCTCAATTAAGTCATTCGATTCATTTACACCGTTAGATCACTGTTGAAATGGGTCAGATTGTGCTAATCTCCTGTTGATTAGCAATGTAAATTGACGGAAGGATTTAATTGAGACGAAGTTGATAATAAATTGAAAGTTCAGGGTCCAAACTAAAACCGAAAACAACGTTCAAAGAATAATTATGATTTTTACCCTATTGAGAATATTTTTTATTACTTTTTTGATGTGAGACGTTGGTAGGAGCAGGGGGAACTCAGTATTATTTTTTGTGACAAAAAATCATCACAACCAAGTATTTCTTTGACAAAAAATCATCGTAATCACATATAATCTGAGTAAAAAGCCAAACTTAGGACCTCGAGCGGTGACATATTTCTATCCGAACTATCTGATGGGATTATATTGGAAACAACGAGGATTTATACCTTCCCAAAAAGACAATGAGGATTATATAATGGGTCCTAAATAGCTTTGATCATCATCTTTAATAAAATTAAAAACTCCCATACTCATACCATTAAAATATTTTAAATCTTTTGGTGTCTTAATCACTCATAACATTTTTTTTTTTATTTAACCGACAAGGGTGTTCAAGACAGCTTATGTGCATCTCGATTAATTTTTTTCTCGATCCGATTAAGAACAGATTATCCACGCGAAGACTAAATATTCAAATATTGTCAAAATTCGAACTGAAAACGTCTGAACGTATAGTTCGTTACTGTTACCACTTAAACTACCTTTAGATTTATCACTCATAATATTCAAGTTGTTTCCTATTAAGAATATTGGGTCCATGAAAAATTCAAGAAAATTAGGGAGAAATCGGGAAAATATTTTCCAGTGTATTGTACCAATTTTTCCTATTAAGAATGAAAATTGTAATATGGGTTCATAGAGAATAAGTGCATAATTTGTGTTTGATTTTAGAAATATTTTTTAAATACTGGGTTGGTGCTAAAAGTGTGTGCAAAGTGGTGAATGTGCAGTTACTCTTTTTCCAATAGTATAGATGAAAAAAATATCAAAGCAGAAATAAGAAAAATATAGGTAGCCAGTGTTTGTCATAAGTTTAAGGGTAAATACCCCTAGATACTCCTAAATTTTACCCTAGGTTTTAAAATGCCCTTCAACTTTCAATTGTCTCAAATCAATCTATGTAAATCATAAATCCATTGGGAAGGACTTGGATGAGAGATTAAGGCAGCCTAGTGTCTCGAGGTTGTAAGTCAAAGCCCTCGGCTAACCCAAAGTGTGTGATTTACAAGTAATTGGACGAATTCAAGTTTGCATTGCAGTCACAAGTCTAAAGAACGTGTAATTTGATGAGACCTAAACAAACAATTATCATCCCCCAACAACGAGTCTGTCAAGAAGAAAGGTAATTGATGGTAACACAACCAAGATTACAAATGACAATGAAGAGTCATTAGTACCTTGTACAGGAGTTCTTGAAATACACAGCTGTAAGATGGTCTTTATATTCATTTCTATCAGCCAGTCAATAATGCAGCTCAATCATACATAACAAACTCTTTCTGCTCTATGTGGTGACTGTACCATCAAAACCCCAAGCCCTACTCAAATCAGTTCTTTTCTATGCCTGTCAGTTGAAATTCTGGCGAAGAAGAGAATCAGCTACTGAACAAGTTAGGTGTGCTAGGTAATCATCATCTCACATTAGCTCTGAGTTTGAGAATCGATGGGCAAGCCGATCAAATCATCCGCTCCTTCAGGCCTAAATTCTGGAATGGTCACAGTCAAATGTGGGTGAAACCGTGGCTAAAACTCTGAAGCAAGAACAGAAACAGAGAGACCTTACAAACCTGAGGTTTATCCTTGTTGTGGCTGATGGCACTTGGACAAATATTTGATTACTTCATTCCAAGCTGTGAATAGGAGGTTATCAGAGATTAATTGCACCTTTTTTTTTCATTCTGCTGCAAAGGAGAACAAAAAATTCTTTTCTTACCTGGAAAATTATGAAAATCAGGCTCTATTCCATTGCCGTTTATATCCATGTGGTTTGGTGTGACATACTTCCCGACAGTGACAACCAAGCCAGATCCGTCGTGAAGTTCAAAAACAGATTGAATCAGGCCCTGTCATATGCTCAGAATGAGACCAATTTAATTAACAAAAGCCAGTGATTCCGTCCTATACCGCCCCCCAAACCCTTGTATTATCCATCTCAACAGTCAGGATCATATATTCTTGGGATCTCTCACTTCATGGCAATTGGCAGTGCAAACAAATGCAATAAAACTAGAAAGCTGTGGAAGACAATCAAATACACAAGGAAAAAAAATAACTAACAAAAATATGAAACAATGTTTTAAGTTGGGCGACAAAATGGCCTAAGAAACCATGGTTTGATTGTATCACCGAGAGATTAATGTATATCTATATCTATATTACTTATAAAAGTCGAGAGAATTTTGATTTTCTATTTTCTCCCTAATCGACTTTATCCTTCGATCTTACTTTTGTTTTCTCAAATTTATCCTTAAATTATTTTGTCAATCTCTACATTCTTTCAATATCCTACTGGAACACAAATTCTAGCCCTCCTCTTAGGTCTCCAAAATATATATCTCATAGGTTATTAGTAGTATATAATCTCTGACTCTTATCTTTACCTAGGCTAGGGTCATTTACTTTCTTAAATTGCTTATCTCATTATTTATTACTATTTAACGTATAAAGAAGTAAAGTCCAATCTAGCAACTTCTATCAAACAACATTATACAAAGCTTGCATGTATCTTTAACAATTCCGATTATAAGTCATTAATTTTCACTGTCTTCAGTGTTAAGGCTGTGAAATTTTTTTAGTTCTTGGCAAAATGAATCTCCTTGGCTAATGGGTTTTCAAGTATTGAGGCTTATTAGCCAATAGTTAAATATCAAAAATAAAATTAAAATTATAGCTCAAAATGATCTATGCACAATGTAGGTGTACATCAACTAGTGATTTAAGAAACAGCTAATAGTAAGTAAGCTATGATTCACAATGGACTCAAGTCTATTACACACCATGAACATAAGTAAAGCATAGCATAAAACAAAATATATCATAACAATGATAAGCTAAAATTGAAGACCTTGCCAAAAGTCCTTTCCCCCACAAGGACAGCTTTACAGTTATCATGAAGAGCGGTGGCAACCTAAAAGGAGAATCACAGGTTACAAAACCCCATCACAGAAATCAATCTACTTATGCAACTTAAGTGGTGATCTGAGCTGCTCACTATTTCACTTGCACTAGCAGTACTATTGTTCACCAATACCTGCAATGGAAGCAATTAAATTGATAGCTAGCCTTGTAAAGCCTAGCACAGTTGAGAATTTTGTTGCCACATATTTCTTCTCATTGTAGTTTAAAAGTTCAAAAGGCATACTAGTAAGATCCATCCAACCCAAGAAGTGCGTGGGTCAATCCCCCCCTAAGGACATATCATGCTTTTCCTTAGGAGTCACTTTGGTCAAGGATGAGCCTATATCATCTTTTATGGAACTGGCATTACAGATTTCATATAATTCTGCAGTGCCAAGCCTAGATATTGTTTCTTTTGTAAAACTGATCAAAATAGAGGTGGTTACAGGAAAGATGTCCATACAATGACAGGAGCTGAAATAAGAGGTGCAGTTTCTGCGGCAATATTGTTCACATAATGAGGATCCCTTCCGACGGTATAAGCCACCTGCCCACAAGACCATTATAAGAGAGCCACTCAATTGCTATGCTAAGTTGTACTTTAAAGCATATTGACTAGTGGAGAATTATTATAAAAGGTAGCTGAGAGTTCTCTAATAAACATTATCTCATGTGGAACAGAGAACATGAACTCCAGGCGTGCAATAATGCAAACAAGCATGAGTCCAAATTTGATTTTTGTACTTTATGGAAGCAAGAATGTAAAGATTGTACCTCCAACGTGTAAGGAAAATCTAGGAAACAAAAAGAGGAGGAATCAAAATTAAATGTTACTAGTAACCTAAAGAAACAAAAAAAAAAAGGCTGGCCAAAATGAGAAAGAAAGGAAATTTCTAAACACATCATGCTATAACCTTCTAGAGGAAAATACTTTTCAAGTTCATACAGTAAAAAAATCTTATGTCTCTTGTTTTTTGAGTGAAAGAAACGAACAACTAATGTTTTCTCATCAATGCCTTCTTACTTATCTCAACTATGCATCACCTTCCTTAGTCTGGATAAGCCCTATGTGCAGAATTTTGAATGCTACAAAAATAAACTCAAGCATGTTTACATTCTTTTTAGCCCAATGCATAACTGAATACTATAGGGAAGAACATATTCATGAAAAAACAGGAAGGGTGAAACTGATTTCAACTTGGAAATACATTTTTACAAATCATGTTCGTGATCATAGTACTCATCAATCAATGGAAGACAACTGAACAGTTTTCATGAATCAATGATTACAAGAAAAAATAACTTTTACAATTTTCAGTTTCATAATTGATTGATTTCTCATACCGTCTCCCCTTCAGTCAGAAAAAGCTTAGCAGTTTCAATTCCAGCCTGGAATAAGAAAAATTGTACAGTTAAATTCACTAACTTTAAAAAAGGCAGTCATAACATAGTTTTTAAATAGAATGGATAGTTTTTAAATAGAATGCAAGGGTATCCAATTTTGTTAAACATCTGGAATATGAATACACCGGGACTACAGGTTCCGTGGGTAAAATTCGGTCCCAATAACCTTGAGATTATGGGTTCGAACTTGAGGGCAGCCACCATGTCCTCCACTTACCTTATAGAATGTTGAAGCTGCATTTCAAACTTGGTAATCACTAAGGGAAGGGGTAGAAGTTATGGAAATTTAATCCACCCAAAACCGCTTCAATAGACCTACAACTTGACTTCATCTAGTTTCCTTGCTCCACCACTGTACTGTAGCAGTACAATAATTTGAAGCCAATTCCCACTGTAATGTCCCACGATTAATCATCTAAGAAGAACTTGATCATAAACAGAAGTGAGAAACCAAAGGTACAAGCGGCACTCCCCTGCCAAAGAAAATATGTTTGACACTTAACCAATCGTCTAGCAGTGGAGAACTAAACCTCAAAAAATGTCACTAATTAATAATTAAGACTCCTAATAGGCCTTGAGTAGATTCTTAGCTCAAGTTTCAAATCTTCCATAACTCCTTTGCCTTGGAAGCACTGTCAGCCCCACTTTGTCCCACTTCTTCATTGTATTACACCCTACTCGCTTAGTCCTGGCCCACTTCTTTATCCATTTCACTGTTATACATTCAGAGGAAACCTTTTACCCATAAGATTTATCATACGTCATGCCAACACCAAATGATTGAGACATAAGGCTTGATTTGATTTGGTATTTATCATATGTCAGCACATCAAGGCATCAACTCTATGAGAACCAACTGGTTAGTGATTAAACTGGAACATCTCATCAGACTGCATTTCGAAGAAAGAAAAACTGGTTAAGGTAAAGAAGCAATCAAAAGTAAGGGTGTCGGCTCTGACTCGTTGACACGAACCCGACACGAACGATTATAAAATTGACAAGATTATTAAATACGCATAATAAATAGTCTAGACTAATGTTTAATACTCAGAACACATTAAATAGATTTTTTTTTTTCGTGGGTCTTAATACGAACACAACACAAATAACATGACATGTGGGTCACACGAACACGACACGATTGACACCCCTAATCAAAAAGGTGGGAAAAAGGTTTTTGTATAGCAAGAAATTAGGTAGGAGGGCGTTTTTAACATCCAAAAAAAAAAAAAAAAAGAAGCAGAGGGAGAGGGAGACCAAGTCTTTCCGTCCCACTATTTTCTTTAGCTGAAAATTGGATAAAAAGGAGTAGAACAAAGAAAATACTATATAACCCAAATTTGCATCCCAAATGAAGAGGATCATTGGATGAGTGTGTCCCATTAACTTTTTTAAATAGGACCCACTGATCCAATGGTCTCCCTTCATTTGGAATACAAATTTGGGTTACATAGTATTGCTCACATAAAAATGAGGGACCAAGATTCTTACAGTATGGCCCTCACAAACATCACTGCTCTATTGATATGGAACCATGCCATGTCAAATAAACCAGCGCCATTTTCTTTCCACATATGGTGAGCAAGGATAATAGCATCCTTATCCTAACCTCTCTTTTTGATAAGTAAATTCCAGGAAAAAGCTAAATGAACACACAATCATCCTCTACAATAACAGATGCAGAATTTAACTAAATCTAGAAAACGAACCTGTACTAGTCCACCAAGATTATCCCTAAGATCAAGAACGAAAAATGAGGCACCATTGTCTTGGAGTCGCTTAATTGCTGCAAAAAGCATAGCTTCCTTCCATTCAATCACAAAGTGAAACTACGAACACAAACTAAAAGGTAAGAAAGCATGTCTGGAAAAGATGCTACAGAAAAACTTTAGAATTCAAAGTTCACCCAGACAAATCAAAGAAATGACATGTCAAACACCAGAGAAAATTTCATACCAAAACAATTTCCAATAAATTACAAGTGCCCAATTTTTAAAATGGAAATAGCACTTGATGGTATAAGTATTTCCATGTGCTCTCCAATTTGTCAATAAATATGAGGCTGCATACAGAGCGTTTTAATATTTAATGCTCTAAAAGCCGAAGAAATTGATGAATGCTGACATTTGCATTTGACCTTAAGCCTCATTGGAAAGGTACTTTTTATCAATTAATACTCAATGAATAACAACTGACCAGAGTTAAAACTAAAACAAAAAATGGAAATAGCATGACATCATGACATCATCAAATGTTTAATGACAATCATGCTATAATGGGCTATTCGTATGGAGGTGGCAGCGAAACTATGCGTCAAAGGCCATACCACAAACTAAACACCTTACTTCTATCATTTCCCTTGGAAATAAATTGTAAAAATATGGTTATCATTTCAATAAAACTAGACTAAGCATGTAAAAAATCTCCCCAAAAACATATTTGCAGAAGCTCCTTTCTTCACCGCACGTCACTCAAAGTTTGCAACTTTATCAACCCAATAAAGGAAGCTAGTGGTGAGGCAATTACATAAACGTAATTAAGAAATGCATGAGTTTCTAGGACCCCAACCCCTTTTTTACCTAATGGATCACAAGATAGAAATCCATTAAAGAATCAAGGCAATCATTCTTATCGAAAAGAAAAAGAATGAAGACAATCATAAGAACCATCCTAAAAAATGCAAGGATTCTACATTGATGGACTCCAAAACCTACTGCCCGGCGAAGACAAATATTGCCATCGTGATCTTTGCAAATAATCCAAGATTTCAACAAATGACAGCTGCAATCATGATTTCAAAACAAAAGGCTAGGCTTATCAAGAAGCAACATTTCCTCTCTTTCTAGTATCACATGGAATGGTTAGCATTATTCAAAATTGACACCTAACAGCAAGAAATCATCCAACAATGACCAATAGATGAAGACAAGCCAACAACAAACTGGATCAAAGAAGTAGACGCATCAAGCAATTGATGTCTAGACTCAAGAAAATAACAAGAAATATGAATGAAGCATCCCCTCTTACGGTACTTCTTACTTTCCATGGCTCTAGGTAATCAACCTGCATACCAGCTCAATCAGGGAACCTCCTCTTCATACACCAAAGTAGTAGCAACTTCAACACCACATTGAAAGCAACCAAACATATGTCGTAGTCTACATGCAAACAATAGGATCTCTACCAAGTAGCTCTAACGAAGGTGGATCGACTGAGATTGAAGAACCTCGTGAATCTAGGAGAACTATGTGATTTATAGGCTTTTATGTATTACCTTCACTGTAATTTATACTTTTTTATTGACTGCCGGCTGGACTTCTTATCCAATCATTTTGATGTAATTCTGGCTTTTTAATTTCTAATCTAAAAATGAGCTAGAGATTGAAAAAGAAATATTTTTGCTCATCTTAGTGAAGAGCTGTGCTGGTAATTAGGAAAATAAGAAGGCCAATGGATCCACAATATCTCTCACGTGGTGACGGCATAGCAAAGAACCCAGGGACCACAATCTCACCCACACAACAACAACCTCAGATTCGCCCTCACTCAAACAAGAAAGGAGAAATGAATAGACAATGCTTACTGATGGGACTTTTCTGAAATACCATATGATGAAGACACGTGTCCTCGGTGTTACTAAAACACTGTTGCTAAGATCAAGTACCATCGGCGCACAAAGGTCCTCGCCCCCGAGGTAATCGTCATATAGGATCATGCATTCAGTATGTTTTACAACCGACACGTGGCCTCGGTCTGATATGGTACCTCGGTCGGTAGCCCCTCCCTCGGTTCCGAGATCAGCCTCTCCTCGGTGCCGAGGTGTACCATCCTAGACGCCTCCTCTACTCCAGGATAAGCTATTGACGTACAGGTCATTAGCCTAGGCTAGTCATCATGACCTCGTCTTACACAATTAGTGTCAGAACGTACTGGAGTGGGGGGTCACAGCCAATGAGGGATGGACGCGTGGCATATGATATCACATCGAAGACAGAGAAACCGCATGCCGTTGCTGACACGCGACTTGGGAAAGCAAACTATTAATTACACCATTCCCTTAATGAGACCGCATTCAATGCGGTAAGGCTCGGAAATGAAAGGCAATAAATGCTCCTAATACAGAGCATTTATTGCATCCTCCCCGAGAGGAATACATTGTACCGTCGGCATTCCGATGACCCAGCATTGATTGCTCGGGACCCCGAGCAGTTAAGAAGGGAAGACATTCCTCATCAGAATCAGTGCGCACACTGCCTGTACCTAATGATCACCTACTGACTACACTGACAGCAATCATGAGATTTTGAGGTATAAATACTCCTTGCAAAAGGCGAGACTGGTATGCAACAAAAAACTCTTTACTACAATACACACTCAGTGTTTTCTCCTTTCTCTCTCTTTCTCAAAGACTGACTAGATCGTCGGAGGGGATACGCCGGAAAACACTCCGGCGCCCTTCTAACTTGTTCTTCTTTGTTCCAGGAACCTCTTTCAGCCTTACTGGATCGTTCTTCCGTTCCCCCAGGGTCTCCCCTTGCCGTTCCAGGTTACCACCGGATCTCGCAGGCTGTTCCAAGCAGCGTGTTTGGTCACTCAACCGGCTCACTCGAGTTCACCAAGGAAGAGATCTGTTCTCGTTTTTTATATTGTGCAGGATCTTGCACGCACACTTACCTAAGGCCTTCCAATAGGGCTACAATATCTGGTTCCACAAGCAGTGCCAGATGATCTATATAACAGATGAATATTCATCCAAGTGGCACCTGCAAAAATAACCACAGCACGGATCTGATATGGCTTCCCCAGAAGGGTCTATAAAATGGGTCTATACTCCCTTTGGGAGTTCATAAACATTGATTTGAAAAGTTCCAGCCCTAGCGCTTTTATGAAGAGATTTGATTGCTTTGTTTCATTCTTCTCCTTCTTTTCTGCTTCCTCCTTCACTTAATCTTCTTATTTTTCCTCTTCTCGTTGTTAATTATCCTTATTTCTTAAAAAAAAAATCTGCTTGCAGTATTTCTATTTGAATAATCCTTCAAGCCATTAAAAAGTTGTTCCTCGAAAGCCTGTTCTAAACATTCTCAACCATCCTTGATCTTAATTCTCTCCAACCTCGCCCTGGCTCTTCAACAAAGAGCTGGAATATATAAGCCTCATACACTAAGCCCCTATTTCTCAACTCAGCAACTTTATGTATGTTAGCAGCTTTTCAATGATTTATGCAACCATTAACAACTCAATGAAGTAAAATGATGTGGAAGGGACAAGGAAAGTAAGAACCACTTTTTGGGGAGAAAACAAAGTAAAAGACTGGGAAGGTAAGTCATGTTGGATGAGAAAATATGCAAGGCCACGATCCTCTCGTATATACTAGAAGTAAAAGTCTATAGCCCTAAATCAACATATGCAGGGAGAGTGTTAACAATCAGAAAGATTATTTATGTAGACATGTGTAATGAATCAAGTAAAATGTAGTTCCTCCACAAAAATGAGGGATTTATGTAAAAGAAGATATGTACCAGTAACTAAATCTTTTCTGGCCAATGCATTGAACTCTTTTAGGCGGACATAACCAACAGAAGTGGCACTGTTTTCTATCTGTTCCAACCGGTAAAAAACTGGGGTCCTAGCAACAGATTGCCTCTGGACTTCAATAGATTGAAGAGGTCCACAAGTTCCATGCTTCACCTGTAAAACATCAATTTTTTAGTACGAACCACTTTTGAAGAAGTGTCATAACATATAATTGATATATCAGCAATCCACGTTAGTCAGGGATCAGAATTACACCATAATGTTCACAAATGTTTCACTGGGGCCTTGTAACAGAGAAAATGCTTCAAAGGCAGATTTCCCCCTCACATCCACACCATTAATAGATAACAGTTCATCTCCCTACCAGAAGATATAAATCACAACACATTAATAAAATCACAACAATAAACAAAAGATTAAGTAGTGACATCATAATTATAAATAGAATCCCCAAAAAGCCATCCCCTTCAGTTAACTAAATTTACTGTCATATATACCCCTATAGCATTATTGGAAAACCAAATAGTTCTTCCCCTTCAATTAAACTTGACTGAAGGAAAAGAGAACTTTTATTTCAAACTAGGTGTTCTCTATGTGAAACTTTGTCTAATGACTCTACCAAGATGATTACATTACCTTTGTACAGATGGTTATACTTTTCTTTTCCATGTGTGTGGAAGAGTGTAAAGGAGGAGTCAGAGACGGGTTGAATCCATGTCTTAACCAGCTTAAGATAGAATATAAAATTCTGTCTTCATGGACATCTTTCACAATTGAACTGGGTAAATTCTCTATCAACAAACAGATAACATTCTCGTGCTCAGCAGATAGCCAAATCACGGGCTCAACAATGAAAGTCAAACTTACTATATCTGGTTGTCTCTAATAAAAAACTTGTGCTTGGTTTGTTAAACAAGGCAAGAGGGTTGTGTCTTTAACCCATTGGCTTCAGAATTTCATTGAAATAATACTTGTCATTTTAAATTTATATTTTTTTGCCTTATTTGTTTATTGTTTTATTGGGATTAGTATAGTCATTTCGTCAATTCAGTTAATAAAACGAGGAATCTGCTAATTATGTTGGCAGTCAAAGGGAACTTTTTTGTTTATCCACAGATGAAGAGGGAATCTGCAATTTGGCCAAAATCTTGGGGGTATCTTTATCTTTTATCTCATGATTTTATATATATACACATACATGACACAGTAAAGCATATTAAAAGAGCACAACAATAGGATAAACCTTAATGAATCTTATCAATTGCAAGTGCAGTTTTAGCATCATAGGTACCTGTCTCACACCAGCAGTATGGGCAGCACCATCCAAAATGAGACCTAAAACCTTCAGTTTTACACCTCCATTGTCATCTGGAACTTCTCTAAGATTTACTCCAATCCCACTCATATCATACCTCGCCATCTTGGAGAACTTTCAATCATGATGGAAGCAACATACGCGATGGAATAAGAAGACTGAAAATTTTGTAAGTAAAACAACATTGATATATGGGATCAAAATCAGAGTTGAAAGAAAAGTTCAATGAAGATTAAAGGTCAGCATGAAGTAAAACGGTGTAAAGACTACCGGTGCCAAAAGGTAATCTTAAAAAAAAAAAAAGCAAAAGGCTTTTAAAATAACAAAACAGATCAAAATCATACTAAATAATGAAAGTAAATCCCTAGAATTTGACTTCAACGCAATCCCTACTTTGATTTGAAAGACAAGATATGCCCTAAAAAAACACGTGTTCAACACAACATATCATAACAGTGATGACTGAAATTGAATTAACAACATCTACTACTACACAATTGCTGAAACAGCCAAATCTAAGTTAATCAGGCTACAAGGCGATCTCAACTCAACCACTATAAATGAGTGCATTAATGACCAAGAAATATTCAGGACGACTTATTTGACACAAGAACAACAACAGCAGTTTGCACAGAGTCTATCAAAAAGAAAAAGAAAAAAAAAACCTGGAGTTTTTCATATCTTTAGAAGTGTAGAAGCTGAAGTTATAACAGTCCAAAGATCTAAAAGAAATGATGTCTAGTGAAAGTGCCTATTTTCAACAAATAGTGGTAATCTGATCGTCCTAATCGGCGTTCTTTGTGAAGAATCGTAATGAGATTACAATATCGCAGGGGCCAAATCCCATTTAGGTCATTCCGCGACAATATCCATGGATAGCCTCTTCAGCCCAATATAAGAACTCAAAAAGATGGCTATCTAAAAAATGTTTCACTTCAGAATGTGAAAACTTTTTCTTAGCATCAAAATTCTCCTGTGCCTCTCCTCCCCAATTATATCAAAAACAGCATGTGGGACCTTACTATGATGTTTTTATTGTTTTTAGCCGAAAGCACAATCTTCGAATCGAAAAAACCTCTTTTGGGGGCAATACAGCCCCAGCAATGGAAGCATTATTGGTAGTGTCGAGCACAATTGCACCCATGAGAGATTCAACTCAGACCTATATTTGGTAATTATCAGAAAATCCTCTATAGGCAAAGTTAAAGAGAAATAACTACTTTAGCACATTAATTTTAGAAACAAATGTGAAATAAATATAGGAAAGAATCAGATTCTCCAATAAGACCAGGAAAACAATGGGTATGTCTCAAGTTTAAAGGAGGGAGAAAAAACAATGGAAACACAAAGTAAAGATATCCGTGAAATTTACGATAGAAACAACAAACTTTTTTGTGTGGTGCAAAGATTGCCTTAGTCTGAGATTTGGCCACATGGACAGCAGGAAGACTGTCTAAAATAAATGGCCAACATGATTTGAGGACTCACCTAAAATCCAAATGTTACAAAAAATAAAGGATGTAAAAAGAAAACTGTGGACTGATTACCTCTGAGGGAGTAAGGAAACGTGTATAAGGGTCACCCAAGCTGGCCAACATCCTCCGGATGATATCATGAGCTTTTGATCTTGAGTGAATTGATGTGCCTAAAATATCTTCTTTCTTTTGCTGGAAACAACACCAAGGATTGTATGACAAGTCAACAACAAAGTCCCAAACAATGAGAAATAATAGACAACAACTCAGAATTAAAATTTAAAAAATAAGATGAGTACCAAAAAAGAGAAACAAATCCCACATGACATAGAATTCTGACATCAAGAATCAAAATTTTATTTCGGTGCATAGTTTTGGTCAGCTTGGAAACGCAAATATTTTGGAAATATTTCAGAAACAATGGAAAACAAAGAAAAACTTTGGAAATTTAATTGCAAAACATTCCAAAATATTGATCGAAACAACTCAAAACATAGGAATTTTAATATTTAATACTAGATTCGTTTCAATTTCCACACCGTTTAGGCTATTTCGACCATTTCAAAACGAAATTTAGTTTCTTACCTAACATCTTAAATAAGGTTTTCAAGGATTGTATTGATGTTCTAAATTCAAAAGTATGCGCCAAGACTAGTGTTGTTTATGCCAAAAAATAAATTTCAAATTCTGCGAGATGCAAAAAATGGGAAAAAAACAAGAAAGAGATCAGTTACCAAAGAAATGAGCCAAAGAAACACATGTTCAACATAGATAAATGCATTTACTACGGAATCAAAAGTATTTAGAAAATAAAGGCTTCGTACTCATATTATAGCTTTAACCACATTAAAGCATAAGAAGACATACAGATTTAACATCACCAGGAACAGTACAAATGAAATTGTAATATAACACGTCAAGGAGGCTTGCAACTTGGACGGGTTAAACCAAACCCAACTTGAAAAGTTCAATACTTGGGGTAGATGTTTCTAATTCTTGGGTTGGGATAGGGCGAAAAACAATCCAAACCAGAATTAAATTCAGGTAGTACTTAGTTAGGACTTTAGGATAACGGGTTCAACCTAAACCGGAGCGAATTAATGAATTAGGATTCAACCCTACGTTTAAGACAAAGCTAATTATATATTTTGAGATTAGGTTAGGGCACAAATTGTGTGTGGCACAGACTTCTGCTATCCTCTCTCCAGTTTTTGTGCCTTGAGACTTCTCTTCTCTTGTTCACTTTGTTTCTCATCTTCTCTCAAAACTCGACAAAGCAGAGCTAAACCAAGTAACCAAAGTAAGGCCTGTTCAAGTAAGCCAAGGGGATATGAGAATGATAAAGTTCTTCATCCTTCCACTTTAAGTCTCATCTTCTACCACTCTCATCTCCCATCATCACAGTCTCTCACTCTCTTCTCTTTGCAATCAGAGATCAGCATGGAGACGAGCTAGTTGGTATTCAATCTTCTCTCTTCATCCATACTTATTCTTTTGCTTTATATCTACGATTATATACAAATGACACGTGTGGTTGCAGGTAATCAGGTTTTTCAAAAATTTGCATGTAATTGTACTTGAATTTGGTTCTATCCAGAAGTATTTGTTGAGTTATCAAATAATATGTTTTTTTGTTAATTAGGATTCTTAAATTTAGAATCTTGCATCTATGGTTTAAGAATTGGAGAAAATTCCAGCGACTGTATTTCATTCAACCTGAAATAGGGGCAAAAAAACAAAAGCTGATGGACATCCTCTCTCTCTCGCTCTCTGTATGTGTGTGTGCACATGTGTGAGAGATATTAGAAAACAATAATTACTGATCTTGTATGGTACTTAAACGAAAAAACGGCCAACAAACCTGTAAGGTGCTAAATAAGTTGAAGTTAAAAAGAAAAATTATCAAAAATTGGCAAGAAACTGGTATAAAAATCTTACATGGGTGGCTCCAATTTCGTTTTCCTCCTTTTTTTTTATGATCAAAAAATGCTGCTTCAGTTAAAGCGATCGTTCATTACAACCAGTTCAATATAGTAGAAAAACATAAACATCATACATATACAAACATATAGAGAAAGCGAAAGATAGTTACCAGCCAAGTTTCAGGGGACCAGCGACGCCGACCAGTATCGAGAAAGCTATCATTGATTATATCCCAAGCTTCCTCCACAATCCCTTCGTTCGTCACAGACTCTGGCTGTGTCTCAGCAACCCGCTCTTCTCTCTCTTCTTCACGACAATACTCGGTTGCATAAGGTGAGGATTGAACTGGTAAAGACTCCAACGCAATAGAATTGGGCGAAGAAGTTATGAGGCCAAACGAGAGAGCAAAAGGCAAAGCTGTAATTAGGGTTTTCTGAGGCCAGTTGAGAGAGAAATATGGGGATTTATGGACAGAGAGAGTGGATGATGGTGGAGGTGACGAAGGGAGTGAAGGTGAGGAGTTGCAGAGGAAGAGCCTCATCTTCACTCACACTTGCGTTTTGTGGCGTTGGTGTGTTGCAGTATTTTAGATAGGAGAAGACTACGGTACGTACGATACCAAAATATTACCGAGTGTAGATACCGTTACTTCCAAAAAAAAAAAAAAAAGGTTATTCTTTATGCACCAAAACTTATATCAAATCCACCGTAATATTTATATCAATGATAGGATCCATCGATTTATTGATTATAAGTAATTTAGTGTAAATTTTAGGGTATAAAATTTGATACATATAACATTACTCATTAAAAAATTACCCATATAGAGTTGATTAGGACAAGTAATCAATGAGTGCGAAACCAAGGTCGAAGGAAACATTGGTTTATATATTCATGCCCTGCCATCTCTTTCTATCTGCTTTCAGAGAATGAGCATTTTTTCAACATCTTGCAAGAAGTACTAACGAGATTGTGATGATCTTCTCTCATTTAACTCAATACTATAATAGTAATCGTACGAATCACTTCCGACAAATACCTACTATAACTATTCACATCAGATACCCAGGACTTTCACTTGCCTTTTGAAGGTTTCGCGCATTTTCAACAATTCTTTCGCTTGGAGAGTTTCTCTAGTCTTTGCTGATTGGGGGCTAAGGGCAAGTAGCTTGATTTTAGTTCAAATTCAATTCAAAATTGTTAATCTCATACTTCAATCATACTATAACTGCAAGAGCAATTCGTGCTAAGCTATTATGCAAGACAACGTAATAGGAATGTGACTTGTAGTTCGGCAGTCCACCGGGGGGGTTTTCCTTCCAGTTGCGGCAGTCTTGTGGATGATGGATATATTGCGATTAAGAAAATTTTCTCACATGAATCATCTATTTATGTAAGCTCTTGGCCAAGAAGGGCTACTACCTATCGGCAAACGATGCAAGAGCTCTTTTCCCTGATACGCTCTAGGGGGGTTTCAGGGAAGACCAATGTGGGGCACCTTTCAGGTGTGAAATGCGCGTTTAAGCTTTGTATTTATCTCATTAAGATACAATTAGGAAGTTGAGGGCTTACATCTCAAAAAATAATATCTAAAAATTATTTTTAATTATATAATTCAAACAGCAAAAATTTATTTGGACAATAACCCACGCAAAACAATGGGCAAATTATGAATTACCTCCATGTAATTTGACCTATTTTTAACTTATCTCTTTATACTAACTGATAGTTTTGGACTAAAATAAAAACCTCAACTCTGTTAAGGGAAAAGGAAAATGACTATGACTATTCTACCTTCAGCGCCATTGTTGTCACCTTTTGCATCAAAACGAAGAAGGTGTAGTGTGTAGCCGATCGAAAACAAAACTCTCTGCGATTAGCAAATGATTATGAGCCATAGCTAAGTCTGCACATGTTGAGAGAGGGAGCAGATCTACGCATGTTGAGAGAGGATGAAGAGCAATAGAAATGCTTTCTCTCTCGTCATTTCCCATCTGCTTATCTCTCCCACCAAGCTTTCTTTACTCCAAATTCAACCTAAACTTTTGTACAATACAATATAAATAATCACGCCATCTTCAATCGCATTTACAGAGTACTAATAACAATAATCAGCATAGGGTTTCTACAATTTTCTTTGAATCTGTGTTTGAAATCTCAGAATTTTCATAAGGTTCGAGTGTGTGTGAGAGAGATGGGTATATACGTCTGATATGTGTGCAGGACGACGGATACCTATTAATGGATTTTCTTCTCTCTCATGAAGTGTACCAATTGTTGAAAGATCGCTGTATCTTCTCTACAAACAAAATTGTTTCCACAACGTTGAAGACAAGGGCATTTTGGTCATCTGAAACATAATTTTTGGAGGGAAATATTTTTTATCACACTAACACACTTTTTTTAGCTAGTGATACACTCTCCGTCAATTCGGACGGAAAATCCAACGGTCTTACTTTAATCTAAAAGTATAGGGGTTATGTGCAGGTTGATGTAAACACGGTTAGAGAGGGGACGGATTACCCACTCATGATTTAAACTAATATCTGTTTCACTTTGGATGCCAAAGTCTGTATTCCTGTCAGTTCAAGAACCGGGGTGCTATACGCAAAATTCGAAAGTAGGGTTCATCGACGACAGTTACTTGTTATAAGTAAAAAAGTTTTCATATGCATGCATTTCATAGCCCTAATGAAGCGAATCTAATGCTTAACGGGAAACATGGAAATTGAATTTTGTAAAATATAAAGAGGTAATGTGTAACTAGACCAAACCACAAGGAGATAATTCAAAATTTACCCTAAAACAATAAAAACAGAAATATAGTGATGGTAGACATGGTGGTGGTGGTGGTGGTGAGCGTGGCGCTGGTGGAAGTGTGTCGGTGGTGGTGGATTGATCAGCTCATAAAACCACAACAACAGTCAATATTTATCAAATTTATATCTATTTTGATTCAATAAAACAAAATTTATCAAAAAAAATTTTTAGTCCAAAAAACATCAACTTTTATGCACAATTCCCTATGTCACAATTTAACCAAAACACTTCTCAATGCCAAATAATTTCATCAATCTATACATACCTCTTTTTTATTTTAATTTTCAATTGCGTGATTAAAAAATTACATTAGCTATATCTATATCTATACCTATATTATACTACTACTTATAAATGTTAGATCGTGAAAAATTTTTAATTCATTATTTTATACCTAATTTTTTATTATAAAGTCAATGATACCAATATATTAGTTTCTTCTAATTTTTATTTCTTATACCTATTTGACTTTTAATTTCTTTTAAATTTTTTTATAACAATATTTTACTTCTAAATTATATATTACTATCATTCAATTTTTATTTCTTATACCTATTTGACTTTTAAGTTATTTTAAACTCTTTTATCAATCAGTATCTGATATTTAAATTATTTTGAACTCAGTTATACAACAATATAATATTATTACAATAGAAGTAATAGTATTGCAATTTAATCAATTTCTTTGACAGAAATATAATAAATTTATAATTTAATTTGATGTACAAATACTCAATAATGACAATCTTATAATAAAAATTTATTATAAACAGAAAAGAAAATATTTAAGAGGTCGGAGAGGTACCTAAACAAATAATAGATTTGATACTCGGAGAGGGGTAAAATAGATCAATAATTATTTTTGAAAATAATTAAAATTACATAATTTATGATTTAATTTAATTTTTTATAAAAATATTATTTAAATATATTTAAATCTTTGAGATTCTTTCAAACAGTTGATCCAAATATAAATATTACAAAATTAATTTAATTTTTTTTATTATATAGCGTTTTCATACACAGAGTTATTGCTAATCTATATAATATGATAGTTAACAACTTGAATCACATAGGTTATAAAGCACAAACAATAGTTGAGATTCATTCACACAGTTGATCCAAATGTATAAAATTCATTTCAAATTTTTGCATTTCCGCCCAAAAATATCAACTTATATACACAATTCCTTACGATAAACAACTCAATTAATACATCAACACACTTTACAATGTTAAACAATCTTATCAATCCACACATATCTCTATCTTCATTTTAATTTTAAGTTTCGTGAATACAAAAAATTAAATTAGTATAGTATTTTTAGGCACAAGTAATTGCTATTTTTTTTTTAATATTATAGCTAAAAAATTAAATTCTCAACTTACAAAAGTACAACAACGATTAAGATTAATCTAATTTTTATATACCAAAATCTAATGACACAAAATTCATCGTAATTTTTTTCCGCTCAATAGCATCATTTTTTTGCACGGCCCCCAATGTCAGCAATTCAACCAACATATTATCTGATGTCAAACAACTCCACCGATCCACACCTACTTCTCTTATTTTCTCTCAATTTATTTTAATTTTAAATTAAATAATAAATAATAAATAATTATTTAAAATATAAATATTAATATTATACAATTAATGCTCAATTTGTAATATTACAGAGTATCTTTAGCCATGAGTTATTGCTAATATATACTACTCCATATAACCACACTATTAGGGCATGTTTGGTAAGTGGTTTTATATGAGAATAAAAATGATGGCTTTTGTGAAAATAGTCCAATGCACATTTTAAATCCCTATTTGGTTCAAGATATGAAATTCAGAATTTATAGGGGAAATGAATATTAGCACGCTCCCAGACTGCAATGAACAGTGCATTGAAAGCCAAGTATGGGGATTTTATGAAACCACGAGGGGTTTCAAAAGTGCAAAATTGAATTTGAAGACAAAAATAGTTATTTTACCCAAAAAAAAACATTTTTTTACTTACATAATAATGAACATTTTAGTAAATTAGCAATGAATGACGTGTGTTGCAGGTGAAAATTTTTATTGAAATATTTGTTAAAATATATTAAAAAATTTAATTATGTAGTTACATTAGATATTATTTCATATTTATTATATTTAAGTTTATTTATATTCTCTTCATAACTATAAATATCTAATAGATTCATTTTATACAATTCTTTCGTTCGAGCAACCAATTAATAAGGTTTATAGATTTTTCTTTTCTTGATTTTTTTTCTCTTTGTCTTTCTTATTTTTATTTTGTGCATCAATATTTTTTACCAAATTATTTTGATTGTGAATAAAAGATAAATATATCCATTTTTTAGCATTAGAGATGTCATTGTATCAATGGAGTTGTCAAAGTGTATTAACATTGGATTTTTGAAAAAAAAAAAGGAATAATATTATTTTTATATATCATGTTAAGCATAGAGAAATACTATTTGAATCTAATAATTTGATCTAATTTGTTGACTTAGTGACGTGGCTACAGTGGAACCACACTAAGTTCCAATATTTGATAGAACTCACAGTCAGTCCAAAGGTCATAGCGAATTAGGTTATCAAATTAGGTCAACAAATTATATCCCAATAGCATTTCTCGTTAATCATAACATGGTCATTCAAAGGTTTTACAGATAGATAGATTTGTATGATATGTTAGAGTTTAATTTATTATTTAAATA